TATTACAATACCTACAAGATAGGTCATCATGATTTTTAATAGCTTACATATGCTTGAATTTGGTGACCGGAGAGAGAGAGCAAATGATGTCAGTAGAATGACAAAAATAAAATAAATCATCAAATTAGTGTAATAGAATATTTTTCCATATTTATTCCACTTTAGATTAAGAAGTGTCCTAGCAAGTGGATGCTTCAGTAAGTCTGCACTACGTGAATTAGCCTATCAGTAATAATTAATAATAATTATGATAATAGTAATAACTTACAAGAATATTAAGACAATGATTCTGACTAGAGTAATCAAATTGTGGAGGCCATTTTGTACTCTCATGATTCACATCACTAGAATAATGTTAAATTGCAAAAAATAAACAAAATATTAACTTACAGATCAAAATCTTCCAAAAACTCAAAGTTAAAAGTAATTTTGTAATCAGGATGATCTGGTGATGCTTCTGTCTTACAGCAGCGATCGAAAATAATTTTTGCTACATCTAAAGGAGAATGTAACAAATTAAGTATTGATATGCTAAACCTGGCATCTTATTGATAATCCTTCTCATTGGTGTTGTAAATTCTGGTTCAGTCTTATTGTAACACAATAGTTTCATAATTCTATTTCTTCTTTCATCTCTGCTTCTATTCATTACAATACTACGTAATGCATCCTTCCACTTTGTACTATTTACTATAGCCATTGCAACATCTCTAAATTATACAGAACATGCTTAAGCATAGAAATTAAAAATACTATTATGTGAGTAAAGCATTTCACAATTATCAATAAATAACATCAAGAGTGGATAATTGATAACATTAATCATAATATTCTCACAATTTTCCTTCTTCTACAGCAGTGTCAAGGGGATTAAGACCATTTTCATCACAATTAGTGATATCAGCACCAAACATTAGTAGTAGTTCAACAACTTTTGCATGGCCATTTTTACAGGCAATATGAAGGAGTCTGGCATACAACATTTCTTTCTGAGGGAGGAATTATTATTATTATTGCTATTACCATGCATCATAATATTATAGCATCAAATATTAAGAAGAACAATTACTAGTTGGAGAGGAGTTTGGCCAAAATTATTTGGGAAAGCAAAGGCTGGCATTCATTTATGCATGAAACTCTGTGAAGTGCTTACGTTATAAGTAACATCAATGGGCTTGATATCAGCTCCACGTTGTAGCAGAAGTTCAACTATTTGTGCATGCCCTTTCTCACAAGCAATATAAATTGCTGTATGCTACATAAAAGTAAAAAATTGTTAAGCATTCTACTATATGCTATCTACTTCATCATCATCATTAAGTCTGATATCAGCTCCATGCTCCAGTAGTAGTTCAACTTCTCGTGCATATCCTTTGTCTGAAGCAATATGAAGTGCTGTACGCTACATAGTAATAAAAATTTATTATGTTTAATCAATATAAAAATTGTTTCTTTTACTTTAAAATCATCAGAGAGATTGATTTTAGTTGTATACTCAAGTAGTAGCTCAACTACTTGTACATGTCCCACTTCACAGGCAATATGAAGTGCTGTACGCTACATCACAGTAATAATCAATAACAATTACCATGTCCCTTACACTATATGCATCAGCAAAGTTGTCAATATCAGCTCCATGTTCCAAAAGTAATTTAACTACTGGTGCATGCCCTTCTTTACTGGCAATATATAGTGCAGTACGCTATATTAATGATAATAGCAATAATAATATTAATTACAATGTATTTTACTTTGTAAGTATCAGTGCAGTTAATATCACACTTGATTTGAGATTGAGTAAGGTCATTAGATAGTAAAACCTTTAGAACTTTGACGGAGCCATTTTTAGCAGCAACATGTATTGGAGTGGAACCAACAAAAAATTGTGAACTCATATTGTATGAAATTTTGCTGCTTTGATCAATACACTTCAAATTATAAACAGGAACTTCGTCAGCCAGTAGAGATTCAATTATATCTTTTGTATTTTTGTAATACTCTACTTTAGATTTATCACTGTCATCAAGTATAATTTCAATATCTTCACTTCCTTCTTTGAGACGCTGGTAAAGAGGATCTTTATGACTACAGATATCAGGATTAGCTCCATGCTTTATTAGGACTTTGACAACTTCAGTATGCTCTTTCTCACAAGCAGTATGAAGTGGTGTATACCCATTATCATGATCTATTGCGTCTAACATTTTCCTTTTGTCTTGTTCACCAGGACATGATGATAAGATTGTGTCAACATCTTTATGACGACCATCAAAGCAAGCAATTTGAAGTGGTGAATTAGAACTATTGACCGTCTTGTCATCAATATCTGAAACTAGAACCATTAAATAATATAAGCAGTTAATTGACTTATGTCTATTTTCATAACAACATAATATGCAGTGTTGACTGTTGACAAGCCTAGTACACAATATAAACATATGCAAATTGAAGTGCTGTACAAACCTATGGCACATGTATCAGTGACACACAAAAATTGAACTTTGCTAGTTAACTCAAGCATTATTTGCTGTGTTTATACAGCACTTCCTGTTGCAATGTATGATATTGTGTACTAAGCCTAAGTCTAATAATTTTACAATACAGGTAACATACAGCACTTACCAGCATCATTGTTGTGACTGTCTTTAGAACTAGAGGCATCATCCAGAGCTTTAGGCTGTGAAAGAAAGAGAGCAGAAAGAGACAGAATCAGGAGAGAGTTAGAGACATAAAACATTTTAGCAAAAGGATTAAGAGTTCAGGACTGTACCATGACTGATAATGCTATGTATTTTATACCTGCAGCACATTACCAATTAGAGTAATGGTCCCTTGATCATGCATGCACTTTTTAGAAAATTAATTTTTTTTAAATCACACAAAGTGGCACTTTTTCACTGTACAATATAGGAGTTAGACCTTCACAGGAAAAATCTTTTCTCTACAAAGGATCACAGGCTTTTTTGTTTATTTCTGTCCTTAGTTATTATGGGACTGAGAAACATTTTTCTTAGTTTATAAAAATATTTAAGGAATGAGAATAAAATTAACTCCCACAATGTTTACTTCTATTCATAAAGATCAAAGCCCTGTCTCGATAATGCATTATGGTATGTGGCTTTAATTTTATTCATAGTGATTGCCATCTGCCGAATAAAAAAAGTTGCTTAACAACTATCTAAATCGTGATGCAGGCTCATGTCACTGAGAGAAAATGCTCAGTGCATGGCATATTAGGGGCTTCATAAGTGACAACAGCAAATATTTGTGGTATCTATGTTATGGTGTTCTACTCACAGATCTAGATTTTGACTAGATATTTAGAAAATTTCTTTTCATTTTAGTCATAATCTAACCAGTGAAAAATGACTCGGGCAATATTACTGACACTATTTCTTGGTTTAAAAAGTGATATCGGGAATAACAGACTGATAGAAATCATAGATAGAAATAAGATGGAAGAGAGTGGGAGTATACGCAAGATAACCTAGATCTTATGGTCTTGCTTATTACCTGCATTTCAATAGCAACACTATCAGCACTAGTAGCCATCCTTTGACCAAATCTATGCTTTGCTTTTGACCCTCTTAGTTTAGAAATTCCTCCTGTGTTTGAGCAGAGCTGAGCCAGTTAACACAAATTTTTGAGTGGGCAGCCCTTGCCCAATCAATTGCATTCCTTAGATGCCTCATTCCTAATCTACCATATGCATGGCTTGTTTACCTTTAAAATTATTATTATAAATAACCAAAAATAACACAACCAAAGAAATAATATAAAAAAATGTTCTGAAAAGCAAAAAAGAAACAGGCTAAAAATTGATTTCCAGTCAGTTGGTCACAACAAAAATGTTAATAAGGTTTTTACAATGGCTTCACATAGAGTACACACACAAGTACATAATACAGTGACAACAAACATTATCACACACAAGGAGACAAGTACAATACTTCATAATAAAGAATACAAGAGAAAAAGAAGAAAAGGTGGAATACATATAAAATAAAAGTTAATTTATTCTGAGAGTCCACCGCATCACTATAGTCATCTACTACCATAGCTTTAAGAGAATCAAAAAGGGCAGCAAATGATGGCTGATCTTCAGGATTCCTAAAAAAATAGCAATAAATCATAGTACTCATCTATGATAGAAATGACTAGTGCTATACTAATAAAATGTATGTAAGATCTGTTGAGTACTACCGGGGTACTGCAAACGTTATTTATTAAGTAAATTATAGTAATGGTAATAATTATGATTTACACAATCAGTAATGCCATATACATGTAAGTGTATATGGCATTTCACAAGGATAAAATTTTTCATTTTTGCAAGTACGCATGAATTGCTATCTGATCACATGCATGTGCAATTTGTACAAAATGTTTCAAGTCATGTTTTACTAATAATTACATGTAATGAGTGACATGCCGCCTGCCAAGTTGTTTTCATTAAATCATAAACTTTAGGAGGACATAATTTAGTGTTTTCTAATCGATATTTTCTTAAAACCTAGTGGAGAACAAGTAAAAATAAAAGGATAAGGAAAAATAAAGGAAAGAAAAAGTGTGAAAGATGAGTAAAGAATGTAGTTGGATAAAAAAATATACACTAGGCTTGTTTGATCTAATACTTGACGATTAGTAAAAACTGGGTAGAGGGTAAGGTGTTTTACCACCACTCCCACAACAGAATATCTAATGGCAAAAATAAATACAAGTACATGTACATGTACATGTATATACAATGTACATGCAGGGTTTCTCACAAAGCATACAGTATGCTTCATGAGCTGACAAGGATTTGCAGCAAAGAGATTGGAGGCAGAGGCCTATACAAGAAGCTAATGGATAGAAAATCACTTGCTATATTAATGAATGGCTCCACTAAGAATACAACACTTAAACTGTGGTCTTATTGTCATAGCAAAGTTATATTGGTTTTCATTGTATTTAATCAAACTTTTTATTAGTTTTTATTATCGCAAAAATTTGGTTGTGCTGATAATGAGGAGAACTATCTTGGATTATGCTACAAAAAAGTTCACTCCTGGCTAGTGCAGATTTTCCATTATGCACAGCAACAAGTACATGCGTTAGGGATGCATGTGATGAAGATGAAGAAAATGATGCTGGTCTGTGCTATCCTAAATGCAAATATTACTACATCGGAGTTGCCACATTTAATTTTATAATTTGTAAAGTACACTGAGCAAGCTACAACTAAAGGAAAATTACAATGAAGACTCTAGACTTTTATTCTTCTTTATGACTCACAGTATTTGTGTTTTGGCTATGCCAAGTATGTCAATAGCTGTATGTTCATTGTATGCTATTTCTGTGATAGGCACAAAGTCTTACAACAATGATCGTTACAGGTATAATGTATTATGTGCATACTATTGTACATTATTCATGTGACCTTAGCAACAGAAACAAGTAACAAACATAAATAACGAGACTTTACTACCAGAAGGGAGATGGCTTTTACAAGAAAGTACTTTTTTTTCTATTGAATTAAAAAGCCATCCTTACAATTTTAAAGGTAGATCAAAAAATGTAATAATCACAGTTGAAGGAAACAATATTTTGTGTTTACTATAAGGGAGATAAGAAAGGTTGTGTTAATGGAAAGACTTTGCAACTAGAGTTTGTACCGTTAATTCCATTTGTAGCTAAGAATGTATGTGGAACAAAAATTAGTTCATTTACTATTGGTTGTGCTGGTGATGAGGAGCTGCATTCTAAATCATGCTTTTAAAATGTTCAATTCTTGCTAATGCAGATTTCCCATTATGCACAGTATTAAATACATGCCAGAGGAATGGATGCACTTTAGATCAGAAATATGATGCTAGTCTGTGCTATCCTAAATGCAAAAATTACTACATTGGAGTTGCCACAGTTTGCTGGGGATATTGCAGCCATGTCTGTGGGTCAGGTTACACTGACATGGGCCTATACTGCTACCGGTGGTGGCCACCACATAGCTGCTACAAGCCAAGGTATGATAGAGGTGTTGGGAGCCTCCCATACCATCCCTGGACTAGTGGACTGGGATGCAAAGGGTTTGGTGTGAGGATGTCCAAAGGTTGATCTCTCTGATAAAGCACCCATTGATCTTGGATGCAACAAGTAGTGCAATAGCCTAATATAATAAGGGCATGAAGAAGCATTATAGGACTTTCTGTTAGGACTATTTTTGTTAGGATATTTTTGTTAGGACTATTTTTTGATAGTTTTTGGTGCTTTTCTTTTCATGCAACTTTTTCTAAATGATTATTGAAGTTTCATCAATCAATATACAGTCTGTTTTCATCTATGACAGTTATCTATGCCTAGCAAGCACAAACTTTACCTTTCATTTGCAATGTTTGTTTATTGCATGACTTTATTACCAAATTAGGTAAAAATAGTCAGCAACTCTAGTTTCACTATGAGTAGAGTAATTATTTAAAAGCATAAAAAACAGTCTTGTATATTCATACCACAATGAAACTCTTGACTTTTAATTTTTTCTTTGCTTTGACTATCATTGCTATAACCAGCAGTGACACGATTAACATACCAAAAGATGGGGAGCTGGAGACATTCATGTGTGCTAGTCAACCATTACAAGAAGATACAGTTCTGATACTCTCTACTAATGTAACTCATATCATAAAGCACGAATCACTCTGTCTGATCAATATGACCTACTCACTGACACTCACTAGTGATTCATCACTACCAGCTATCATTTACTGTAATGGCTCCAAGACACAGCCTAACAGTGGATTCTCTTTTATTAACACTCAAAATCTCACTCTCCAGAGGCTAGTGTTAAGAAATTGTGGTGGATATCTGAGAAGACTGGATGCAATTAACTCTATTGCTTTTCCATTTTATTTCACTGAGTATCATTCAGCAGCTTTAGTTTTCCTGCACATTGGTTCATTGCTTATCAAAGAGGTTAGGATTGTCTCTTATTATGGTTTTGCTGTGTTGGCTATTAATCCTACAAACGCACTAATGGATAGCATGAATGTAACAATGGCAAGTACAATATACATTCAAAATCATGGTCATAGCATTGGTTGTGGTGCATTGTTGATCTTCACTGACCACATCAAATCAACGTCAATAGTAACATCATTAAAAGCTACCATAAATAATTCCATATTTTATATGAACTATGACTTCTTGAAAACAATCGATTGCCTTGATAATTTACATGATTATGTGAGATACCCTATTCCAATTGTCAATGCAGCTGGACTGACAATCATTTACACTCAAAAAACAATTCCTGCAAGTGTCTCTGTATCACGAACACTTTTCCGAAGAAACGTTGGAACCGTAGCAGGAGCAATGCTAGTTTTGCATTACAAAAGTACACTTGGACTCAGTTCAACATTGATCAATAATATTACAATTCGAGAGAACTTCAATTTACACAAATGTCATGGCTCTGGTTTATCTCTTTTAATAATGCCATCACAGGCAAGCAGTTCAAAGTTTAAAAATACAATGATCATTAAAAACAGTGCTTTTGCCCGTCATTCAATCCTAAATTCTGCAAAATATGTCGTCATAAATAAATGCTGTGGTGCAGGTGCATTTTATATTGGAGTACTGGAGCCATTCTTTGAAAATAACATCACCATTGCTATAAGTAATGTTCAGTTTTACTTTAATAGCATTTCAACAACTGGTTCTTGTATATATGCTAACACTCAATACCGTTCCAACAATGATCAATTTAAAGTTTTAAATGTAATTCTGGACAGTGTCACAGCATATGAAAATTCTCAGAGCAACACAAACAGCAAGCTTGCCAAAACGGGACATTTTACATTCAACAGCCTTAAAGGATTATTCATCACTGGCTCAACTTATATTTATGATAACTTTGGTGCTGCTTTTGACATTATTAACACAAAAGTAGCATTAAGTGGAAACTTTCACTGCTATAGAAATACAGGGGAAAGAGGACCGGGGTTTTCATTGCACAGCAATAGCTATTTTCAGCTTCAAAATGGTCTACGGGCTGTTTTCAGTAACAACAGTGCATTAGATAAGGGTGGTGCCATCTACTCTTTTGATGATAGCTTTAACCAGTGCACATTTCAGATAGCAAACAAGAAGTCTCAAGCTAATATCAGTTTGATTTTTATCAATAACAGTGCAGGTGAAGCTGGTAGCTCAATTTTTAGTACTAATCTTTATTACTGTTCTCAGTCTCACACAATAATGACAAAAACAGCAGCCGAGAGACTTTATAGAGCAATTTTCAAATTCAATAGTTCCTCAAGTTCAAGTTTGTCAACACAGTCAGTCAAACGCTGCATATGCAAGGATAATGCTACTTTTGAATGTCGATATTTTAGCTATCCAAAAGTCGTTTATCCTGGGCATAAAATAAAATTAGCAATGACAGCAAAAGATCCCACTGGAAGAATGGTTCACTCAATGGTATCAGTGGAACTGGGTACTATGAAGAGGTTTGAAGGTGACATAAAGTTTGTCTCCATTTCATCTTGGTATGTGGCACCGAGTGACACTCAACAAGTTTTGCTCGAGTCACAAAAGTGCACTGTGGTAGGAATTAGACTAAACAAAATGGCTAATAGTCCGAATCCTCCTGGAGCAGTACTTGTGGTATCTTCACCTCAAGACACAGTACTGCTAAAAGTGAGGCTAAAATTGGTGGATTGTCCACTGGGATTTGAGCTCAATCCTAATTCAAGA